ATTTTTTGATAGGGAAACATTTTCCGAGATGAGAACTTCTTTCACTCTCATTTAGGAGTTGAGATAGATGGATCTGAACTTATGAATCTATCCCGAGACAGAAAATTAAACGTACGTTTTCTTTATGTTAGTTTATTTTACCTTTAATTTACATCATAAGTAGTTGCTTTTGTTACCGGAACTCGAGGCAAGTTATTCTGTAAACGATGTCATAAGTCGGTTTTCACAAAGTGCGCAAGTAATCGAAACTGAAAGAATTCAAACTAGTCAAGTTTGAAAATTTCTTTCACTGCCTTTCCAACTCTTCTTATTTTCTAGCAATAAAGGATGGGTTTACAAAAAAGTCTTCTTTCAACTCAGATTTACCCAGCTGTCGCAATGAATAACACATTGTACAAATCAGAAGCTGAGCTGTCACTTGAACTCATGGTTGCAAATTGAATAAATTTTCCGCTAAACAGCGAAATTTTGATCCAACTGATTACAGACATTTTTTAACTGATATTGACATTTTTCTGCGAAATAGATTACTCGGCGTTGTCAGGAAAAAATGTAACTTTTAGGAATCAAGTTTTCTTATGTAAATATGTAATATTGAAGGAGTGAAAAATATAACATGAACTCATTATGGATTTTCCATTTCCTTCATTTATGTCTGTTTACCTCTTCCTTACGTTGATCAACTTAAACTTCCTTTTTTTTGGATGATTAAAGGTTTTAAAAAATCGACGGGTTTGCTTGATGTGAAGAAAGACATGAGATGAGTGAACTGATAAAAATTCCACCTAATTGTTGAGGAACTATCAGAAATTTTCCGTTTCGAAAACATGGCATCCTCACCACGCGAATTTCTAATTTCACAAGTGAGGCCGGATTACAGTGTCATCAGGGTGACCGGTTTATGAACAGTGCGCTTTTACTTTTCAAGAGGATTTTTCATTTTCGAGCATTACTGAGGTTGAGCTCAACTACTTTTTGACAGGAAATATTTTCCGTAATAAGAACTTGTTTCATTTTCATATATTTAGGAGATAAAGAAGCTTTTTATGTGAACAAGTGGTCTCCGCATTTAGTTCTTAAATTGTCTTCGATTTAAATAGGTGACGAATATGTGTATAGGTATTGTATGTGTGCTCGTGGATACGAGTTTGTTTCTTTCATCAACATTCGAGATAAAATCCCTGGGTGTTAGAGAGGGCTTTTGGCTTGGAATCTGGAAGATGCAGAATTGACGTTTTCTACACGAATTCGGAAACTATATTATCCACAAAAAGGTGTAAATGTCCTCTTGTCTTTTAAAGGTTGTCCTCAAGACGTACGTATACGCACACGCGACATTGCTGATGATGGCCGATGGCATTTTCCTTGCGTTTTAGGCACGCAGGTGCTTTAATGGAATATTTGTTTTAGAGAAAATTTCCATCGGCAGAATTATGATAACAACTTTCCAGGAGAAAACTTGCATAATCTGACATAGAAGTGCCAAAACTAGGAAGTGAATACTGGACTTCAAGAGGCTCAAACGATAAAAGGAAACTTATATTTCTCAAAGCACCAATCTAAACATATGATTACAAGTGTAGCTTTATACAGCACTAAACTCGTTAGGTGTCATAATGACTAACGCAGTGCTTAAATTAAGAGACTAGTAGTTAGTTTATGTCAGGTTTTACACCACTGCAAAGAAACCGAGGGCCGGTTATTTAAACATACTCTAACCTCTATTAACAAAACCGCTTCCTAAACAATCGTCGATTTAGCTGAACCTTTAATCTAAACTTTTATATTAGTGAACAGTGTCAAAAAGGCCAAAAGCTGACAATGGTAAGACATTTATTTTTATTAGATCAACCCTCTTTTAATGAAAGCCTGAGGCCCACTGATTGCGTAAAACCGTGGTTTGGGTAAAATTTCGTGTAAATAACCGGCCCAAAATATTCATTGTATTGTGATTTATTTTTGCCCAGTCAGTTTTATGTTACAAGCGTGTTGTATATCCACCATAGAATACAGCGAACTCCTTTTCCAACTTTCCCTTTGAATGCGGGAGTTTTTTAATGCGGGAGTTTTTTAATGGCGGACGCATCGCTCAAATTAAGTTGAAAAGGTGTAGTCAAAAGACTTTTGTCATAATCTCATGTTTCTCTCTGGAGAATGCAGTTCGAAGGTGAAAGTTTGTGGAAATCGACTAATGCAAAACATATTTCACACTTTTACCTACTGCAGCTGGAAGCAAGGTTTTGAAAGGATAAGATACTCAGACATCATGACGATTGCAAAAGCCCAGTGCGCGTTCTAGTTGAATAAAAGTCCTAGGCTTCTAATCATGGCTTTCACTACTTGTTTTACTCCATTTATTCTCCAGCAATACAAAATGGGATTCAATGATGAATTAAGCAGCACAAGAGAAATTGTTAGACGCACAGTAAAATTATACGATGAGTTGTAACCTCGCGTGTGCGCCAAAGCGACAACTATTCCATAAGGAAAGTAACACACCACAAGAGCAAGCTGTACGCACAGCGCTGTGTATACAGTTTTTCTGTATTTGGAAATGTTGAAAGCTCTTCCTTGTTCGTTCGGTTGGCGTTGATGCACACTCCGTTGCACCTGCTCACGATGTTTGCGTAGTTTTAAGTAAATGGTTAAGTAAGATAAAGCAGAGATGGATAAAGTGCAGTATATTAAAGAAGACATCACATTGGAAATTAAAACGTACCTCCAAAACCGTCTCAGATTGGAGAACAAAATGTTGAAAAACCAAAGGATTATGATCATTCTGCGTGTTCGCCTCAATGTTATAACATGCTTGTAACTTAATCCCATACAAAGAGCAAGAAGCCTGTCCAAACTTATAGCAGTTAAAGTACACAACGACACTCCGCTAAGAGTTGTCCCAACGATTTCATTAATGCTTACAAGTGCGTAACAAAGTTGCAATCGTTGCTGTGCCATCGACAACAACTGAATGGCGTACAAAGGTTGAACACAAACACCAACACAAAAATCACTAATAATCAGACTTCGTAACAGGATTCTGGATGCGGACTGAAGAGATGAAATTCTCCTCAGAGCAAAAAAGACCAAAATATTACCCAAAGCGGCTGTAATGGCGAGTAGAATGTTTATAGCTGTCAGTACAAACAAGTATTGGTTTCCTAGTGTGGGGGCAGCACAAGTCACGGACTGTATTATCTCGTACATTCCTCTGTCCTTGGTTACATTTTCCATGGTAAAGGGCGCTGTCGTTAGCCTCAATACTTCGTGAAAATGATGAAAAGTTTTACTGGTTGTTGCGATGACCTCTTCCGATAAGACTTAAAAAGAAATGAAAAAAAAATTTCAGATATGTCTTTTTACATCATCTATTTATTCAGAGATGACAATGAACGACACGGTCAACAGTTTAACTGAAAGATAAGAGTTCACTCTAAATGAATTGCATATTTAATGAAATTTTCAATAGATTGTAAAGTTTTGCTGCAAAAAGATTTTAATCGAACATATTGGAACGATAATACAATTTAGAGGAAGGCAGTTTTATTTTGTAAGTACATATGTGTTAATTGAATAAATGAAAAATAACCAAAACAAAATGAACTTTCATTCGATATTCAAATTTTTATCTTTCCTCTATGTGTCTTTATTTGTCTTTTTCAGAAAAACGTTAGTTTCTGCATGGTTTGTTCTATTTCCATCACTAAATGATACAAATTATGAAACAAAAGTCATGACGAGTTTGCTTAAAAAATCAAATTAGTGAAAGCTCTTGTCTATGGCATCATTTGACATCATGCTAAACAAATACCATTTGACAAAAAGAATAATTCAGAGTTCGAGAAAATCAGATGTTGTCCGTCCATTATTCCTTTATGAATGTTATTAAATTTCCTTAAATCTTCCCGCCGCGTTGACGTTCACAAAAGATTATTAACATAATTGCATCTTTCATATAGTAAAGGATAAACAGTGAATTTCACATAATAAAATTCTGGTATTTAAGAAATAGCTCACTGACCACTGAATTAAGATTTTCATTAACTAGCTGTGGTAAACAGAATATGACTTACAAGGATATTAAGATAATGTTATCAAAAATTTTCGTTTCTTTCGTTTTTTGCTTTTTTTTTTTATCATTAGACTGCTTTAAGAACGCAACACGGATTTATGAAGAGAAATTTGCCGAGGAACATTACTCGATTTTCAGTTCCTCGTAATCAGATTGCCAATAGAAGATGATTATGTCAGATTTTGACCATTTAAAAGTTGGCTCAAATAAGGTTTACGAAGCCCCCCCGTTCACGCAAATGTAGAAGCCTTTTCCATATATATTTATTAATCAAAATTAGGACAGTGGTAACGGTGGTCATGATTCTGAGAAAAAGCGTCGGTTTCCTACGATAAACAATCAGAAAACTCTCTTTTAAGAGTGAATGTGACGCTCTGACGAAGGGCTAACAGTCGAAATGTCAGCTTTAGAAATTCTTTATGGTGGCCAATTTACATTATCAACTCAGTTGATAAAACTAAATTTCCCTGAAGGCGGTTTTACTTTTTTTGTGTCAATGTGTTTGTGGTCAAGTCAGGGTATCTATCTGATTACTACTTCATGTAACAAAGTGATGTTTGCATTAAATGATTCGTACACAAAGGAAATGCAAGAAAAGGTGGTTCACTTGTAACCGAACTGTACCCCTGATGGAAATTTACAGGTTCAAGCCCTGGTCGGCTCATTGTGCAGTGTTCTTTGGCAAGACACTGTACTCACAGTGCCTCGCTCCATCCAGGAGTGTAAATGGCCTGGGTACGGAGCGAATTGTCTGGGAAGCGTGACGAAATCTTGGGGTGTCACTCTGCGACGCAATGGCATCCCGTGTAAGGGGTAATACAGCTACTTCGAGTCGCTTCATGTTGAGACCGGGTTAAGCTCCAGCAAAATAGGTCATCTGGCTGATGAATATGGACCTAACTTTTCTTTTTAAAAGAAAGCTTTTTTAATTCTCCTCAGTAATTAAAAGTGTCATGTATTCTATGGTTATGCCTTATTGTCACATTTTAAGATTCTATCGTCGAAAACCTTTTCCATCTGTTAAATAATGCACAGTAAAAACCGAAGACTGTGAAACGAGACGAAAATATTTAAACTGAGAAATAAAAGGAAACATATTTTAGAAAATTGACACAATTTCGGAATTTTCGAGTGACATTTGAGGATGAAAATAACCTCCTTCCCCCCAAAGCTGTTTAGGCAAAGGGATTTCTCATGAAAATTTTAACTTAATCGTTGGCGAATCAAAAGCTGTGACGAAGATCATGATAATTACATTCAAGACAGAAAACAACCGCGATCGAAGCATAACACTTCTGGCTGTTTGTCGTGTCATTCAGCCGAGAGTTTATTGGGCGACTATTGCGTTTCACCATTGATTGAAAAGGAAGGTTATAGAGCTTGCTGTGACAGTTTGTCGACTCTATAGACGACCTTAAACAGAAATAGCTGTCGCGAAAGTTTGTCTCGGTTCGATTGAGGGATAAATTTACAATTTAAATCTCCGGCAACGGTGAGTCGATTTTTTTTGCTGTGAACTGCCAGGATGGGTCAGACGGAAAGTCGTCGGTGCAGAATTTGTGCTACAAAGTTGAATCCGAAAAAGAAACAGGACATGGAACAATCACTGTGTTCAAAGTAAGTAGCTATTGTGACATGAATAAATTTCAGTGAACGTAGAGAAATTTGTGATGTTTTGATTATCGTATATCTAAGCTTTGACACATGGATATTTTAAACAAAGATTGTCGTAAAAGCTTTTCTTTGCCCAATGTACTGTGTGAATAAATGTATTTCCAGGCAAAAATATCTAGTTTCTAATGGCTACTAAGGAAGCACCTTTACTGCAAATTCGAACTTTACAAAATTTGGCTTTGATTCTGCTTGAGTTACCATTCATGCTAAAATTGATAGGTCCAACAGAGAAAAAGCAAACAATGTAATCTTCGCAGCAAAGGCAGTCATTTTTACCTGAATGCATGACCAAATGGTCAAAAAGCAGACGAGAAAGTTCAGATCTTTGCCAGTTGCGGTTTTTTTAACCGTAGTTCTAAATATCATGTATGTGTTGGGGAAGCATTGCAAGGAAAACGCGAACAGCCAAGTTGTCTCGTTTGTCGGTTTCCAATCGGCGAGAACATGTCGATAAAAAAAAAAAATTCATCAATTATCTTACAATATTTAAATATTTCGCCCTGGTTAGTTTTTAGCAAAACAACGAACCTGCTAATTTTGGAATGAAAATATTATGTGACAAGTTTTACGTCAGTATCTGAAATGAAGATTTTCGTTTTTTCTTCTGTGAATATTTGATAGTTTTACGTCATGCAGAACGAAACCATTGTTTTTATAAACTGTGGTTGCGTTAAAAAGAAATACGTACTCTGTATTCAACCAAGACGAGATGATTTTTCGGTAGAATTTTTTAGAAAATTACAGATTTTTGGTGGGTTTGTGAGTTTGTTAACAACAAAAAAAATGCTTAAAATGCTTGGACTAAAATTTAACCATCAGAAGTCAATTCTTAAAACATTTAAAAGAGAAATACACGCAGGTGTAAAATATCTTCGAGGCATTTTTAGAAGGTCGTGTTTCAAAATTCTGGCGGATTTCATGATTATGATTTCATTGAAAATTTGACAGAATTATGTCCCTTTTTGATTTTTATTTGCTTTGATATTTGCTCAATAATTAGAACACTAAATCTAATTTTTTTTTTGATTTGTTCTGTTATAAGATAATAATTTTAGGTCAAAACCCATGACTGATTAATTTTTTATTTGAATAATTGTCGATAGCCATAGAATCGTCCTCAAGCGCCGTGTTTGAAGTGTTCCTATAACGTGGTTAACTTTGCGTGAGAAACATTCGTGATCTAAAACCGAAAAGGAAAACCAACCAGCCGCTATTTAACCCTTTAGCTCCCAAGATCTCATTGGTAGTTCTCCTTACTGTCTGCCATATAGTTCTTGTGATGTTAGTTTGGAGAATTTGGTATTGGATCAACTAATAATCTCCTAATTAGTATCTATCTTTATTCTCATCAGTTGTCTGCTTGATATTGTATTGTAAAGAGAAATTCTGTCTTGGTCACTCATGGGAGTTAAAGGATGAACAGATAAGACAGACCGAGAAACTGTCACCTGTTACCCCAAAAAATGACTTGTAGCTGTTTTGCCTTATAGTTATCGCGAGTGGGGGTTGCAATTCGTTTGCCTGTGTCTAGGTTTTCAGGAAACCATTTGGTGCCTTACTCATTTTTATGAAGTTAAAAGAAATGCAACACTGAAAGGGTTGATGCAACTACATAAGAAAGGGAAAAGAAACCGTTTTCGACGATTATTGCTCCAATTTTTTTTTAATAAAACAGATGCTTTCTCAGTGTCTGGACACCTTTGCCCAACCATCGTAGACTGAAATGCGTCCATTCAATAGATCATGTTGTAACAATTTAAAGTGAGAATATTATTTCTCTAATCAAGCTTATTCTTGTCAAATATGAAACGATGTTAAATTCAAAACTAGGCAAGCACGTACGAAAAACAGATGATGGCGCGTTTTGGACGCATTCCCTTCTGTAGTTCTGTTTTATGAGCATTATTTTGACTTAGCCACATTAACAAGAGCAAACTGTGGTTGGCAAATGTTAAGCTGTAATGAAAGGGTTAAATCCTTAGCGGTGTTCTAGGAGCGAATTCTTCGTAGGCTATCAACATCGGCAAATTTTGTCGCAGAGAGATCTCCTTTTTTTAGAAGTGGTTTATTATTTTTTTTGGTAGGGGAATTCTTGTCCCATCTTTTCAACCACTCTATCGGATAAATTGGTGAAGGATAAAGACATGGGGTTGTAAGTGCGATTTTTAAACCAAATTAAAATAAGACTTCGTTTATTGGTAGACTGCATGGTAAATTTAAAATGATTTACTTTGGTGTTTCAAAGGTGCAGGAAAAAGGGATCAAAGGCACTGTGGGAGAACAGGTCAACTCTAAAGTCAATTGTCTTTGGAAAAGGAAAAAAAGAAAAAAAGAAGAAAAAGAAAGGGAAAAAACAGAAGAAGAAGAACAAGAACAAGGGAGAATAAGAACGAGCGGCATTCTTGAACGAGTAGTAAACTACGGAAATGTTAGTCTTTCCTTGTTGATAACAGTTCATCATTAAGGTGACCTCATTGTAAATAGAATTCCCTCACAGTATTGTAACTGCGGTAAATCAGGGAAACTTTGTTATTTGCAATTTATGGATTTCAGATACCTTGTCGTGGCTATTCACGGGAAAGTTTGCTTGTATTGGAAAGGCGTGGTTTCTTTTTAGTAATAGTCTCGATGACGTTTTCATTACAAGATTTAATTGTGACGAATTAGCCAGAAAAAAATCTGGTTGATTTTTTGTGGTTAAAGAAACAAATCAGATTTCCTGTACAGTAATCAATGGAATTTCCAATTAGAATTCTATGGATCTGTGCTTACATCTACTTGCAAAGTTACAATCCTCGTCACAATTGTTTAAACATTTCCTCCTTTTTCGTTTGTCATTGTTGGTAACAGAAGATTGGACCTCCTGAAAAAAATTAATCTTTTGGAGGAACTGGCGTGTTTCAATCAAACTTGACGAGGGTTGTATTTTTTATTGTAATTATAGTGTATTGTAATGTTGTGACGGATTCAAATGGCTCAGGGTCCCAATAATGTTAAATACTTTGCAACTGAAAATGAAAAACTAGACAAGAATTGGGATTAATTCTTGAATCAAGGCACTATCGGCATGGATCGCAAACTACCTCCCACTTCTTCGCGTTCCACGCTCGTGGCAAGACGAAAAACATCTTTCTTTATTTCTTTACCGAGCTAAAAACTTACCTCTACATCCTAACAGTATTCGTCATAAACTTCGCTCACTGCGAAGTCTCTGTGGCTCAGTGGTAGAGGACTGGAGCGCGAAATCTTAAGATCTGATATTCGATTCCTCATGGGGACTCAGAATTTGTTATTTGTCCCACGCTCGTGACAAGACGAAAAACATCTTTCTCCTTTTCTTTACCGAGCTAAAAACTTACCATTTCTCTTATTCTATTTACAAACACGACGCTATCTACATTGCTGGTCCTAACAGTATTCGTCATAAACTTCGCTCACCGTGGAGTCTCTGTGGCTCAGTGGTAGAGGATTGGAGCGCGGAATCTTAAGATCTGATATTCGATTCCTCATGGGGACTCAGAATTTGTTATTTGTCCCACGCTCGTGACAAGACGAAAAACATCTTTCTCCTTTTCTTTACCAAGCTCAAAACTTACCATCTCTCTTATGCTGTTTACCTACCTCCAACTTGTTTCTCCATTCCGGCGTCACCAACTTGATGGCATGATGTACCCTATTGAGAGATACTGTGCGTCTGTAGTTTTATTACTCACTGGACCCGTTATTTTAACAAAGTTTAGCCGTTTTTCAACAAACCACGTTCTAAACTTTCTTGAAATTAGCCGAATCTTTCATCAAAACATTTATTTTTGAGAACAGCGCCAAGAGGGCCGAACGCTAGCAGTGGAAGAGTATTTATTTAATGACAGCAACCCTCTTGTAGAGAATACGTAAAACCCACTGTTTGCCTAAAACCTCAGTTTGGGTTAGACCCTGTATAAATAACCGGCCCATTGTTTTCTTTAACGACGCCCTGCAATAGGTTCGTTGAGGAACGGTTGAAGAACATACCACTTTCGTGTAAAACCGTGTAAACAAATACTTGACAAATAACTGCAGCGTTCTACACGTACCCTTCTGTAAAATGGGAGGGTAAGTAATGGGGCCAAGTGGCTTACCTGGCTGGAGCCTATCCCACTTTCCGTAGCATGAAGCAGCCGTGGGTATTGTTACTCCCCCTGGATGAGATGATGGTCTAGAGCATTTTACCTCCCAGCATTTCGTCAGGTTTTTCTTCCAGTTGGCTGCCAGTCATTCTTACACCAGGGTGGATAGGGAAAGGCACTCTGAGAGTAAATTGAACACAACGCGATGGCCCTGCCCAATCTCGAGCGCGGACCTCTCTAACTAGCGTCCAAAGAGCTAACTGTTAAGCCAACCAATTTCTTTAGTTGAGAATTATCCTGGTTAAGTCTCTCAACGGGAACAAATCTCGTTCCACAAGTCTCGTCTTCTCGACACTGCCGTGTCATATTTTAAACAGACGGAGACTTTTCGTACATTTTCCATCTCCAACGTCTAAGAAACCTTTTAAGGAAAACGTGTGTGGTGTGAAATAATTCAAAACGGAGAAGAAAAATTTCAAGTTTTCCTCAGCTTGGGGACACGATTGTTTCACAGCTATGGGCAAGTAGTGTAGTGTAGTTGTGCGTCTTTAGTGCCTCGCCCTATGGTTGATCAATAGACTGATCAAACCAAGGAGAACTCAAAATTAGGAAAAATAAGTTTGTAATCATTTGTGGGAGTTTAGGGATTTAAGTTTGGTTTACAAGTATGTTGCTACGAGGAGCAAAAGCTTGCGTTTTACAAGTATATAAATAAGTTCCTAGGCTTATGCGTGCGCTTTAACATGTGGGCAGACTGGCAGAGCCAACATTTGCGTTTCAGTTGGTGGTTATTATCACAGAAATGAGCACTGGACTCTAAAATGATGCTAACCCCGATTCCTGTGCGTAAGCCACACCCATTTGTACATAGGTTTCTTGTTCTTATGCATGCTGATGTGAAACGCACCTCGGAATCAGAAGAAGCAATAAGAGGTCACACTGTTGGACGCACGAAGATCTTTTGCAGAAGCTCACTTTTGAGATATTTGAACGTAAAATTTGAAAACCATGACTGAGAGACATGACGCAGATTCTTATCAATAGTCAGGAAAAATATTACGACGCTACCAATCACTTACATAGGAATATTGATTTCAAAGAGTGTTTTTGGGTTATTGTGCAACTTAAAACCCTATCTTGTAGGAACTTAAACAAAGCGCAGAAAACCCAAACGATATTGTTTTGTGCGTCTCAAAGCGGAGAAGAAAAATTTCAAGTTTTCCTCAGCTTGCGATCAGGCATGTCAAGGTTGGGCTTGTGCATAATCTGGATTTTCGTGGGTGTGCTCGCCTTAGCAGTAACAATCAGCAGTAAAGGACCTTTACTGATGCTTTCACTTATGCGTACCTGTCATCAGATCCGTTTTTGCGGGGATTTCACGTGCTGATGCTAGCATTGATAGATGGATAAAGAGATAAATTTCTTTGATTTTGTGGAGCAACTATCATAGAATCACCGACTAGAATTAATGCCCACGATTGTTTCACTGCTACGGGAAAGTAGGTGTCTTGTGTGTCTTTAGTGCCTCGCCCTATGGTTGATCCGTAGACTGACCAAACCAAGGAGAACTCAAAATTACTCCAAGTAAACTACTTCGATCTCAAAGAAAATTAAACCAAATAAGAGCTGTTCAGAATAACTTAAGCCTTCCAATTGAAAATTAATTTACAAATAAATTTTGCACAATCGAGGTCCTGGCATGGCATTCGAGACCGATCATTCTATAGGAAGTTGTTTTGCGAACGGTTACGTTTCTGGTTCTCTTGTTTACGACACTGATAAAGAAAACATCCAAAAATTCCTTATCTGAATGATAAATGCTGATTTTTTTATATTTTTTAGAATCAGGAGCACTGTAAATTAGAGAGCGGAGGACAAAACCTTTTTAGTGTTGATGTTGTCAGGATTTTTTCTTCCTGCTATCGTTCAGATGAAGAGCTTAACCAGAATGGAATAAGCAGTAGAACCTTAATAACCCATAAATAATGACATTTCTGGAGCACATGATAAGGAGCAGAGACTGACACCACACCCTCCTTGAGAACTGTTCATTGAAAGTGTAAGTCACTACGCCCCGTACTTGACAATCTTTCGTTTTACCCTCTATCCTGAACACATGGACTAAAATAAGGAGAAAAAAAATACAACCTCTTTTCTACCTTCACATGGTTGCCTGAAAAGTTTAATTTGTTTACAATGCAGTGCCTGAAGGAATTTTTAGCAAATCATGTGTTTGAAGGCGAAATAAAAAATTCTAGTGGAAGAAGGAAAATCCTTTTTTTTTTTTTACCAATTCTATGTGTTACTCTGCGGTATTTACGAAACTCACTTTTTCATAAAAGTTTTCATTTATGAAAGAGGCCACGAGGCTGAATGTTGGAATTCTCTAGGTAAATGCAATTGTTACGTTCAATAAACGCAGCATTAACAACGATAATATAAATAGAATGAAAACTGGCTCCCAGCCCATGCAAATCTTCAACCCTTATGTACGCCATGTGTGTACAAACAAACCACATGTAATGAAATAAGTACGAAACAGACCGAGATTTTGGTATGAGGTTATTGTGGTATACCACAAAGAAGGGTGTTGTGAGAGCCATGCTCTTGACCCCGCCCGTCACGATCTCTTTGTTACCAGGCTGCGAGAGATTAAGCGCTTCCCCCTCCCTTCATCTCCTAAAACTTGCAAAGCAAACATGTGTGTAAACGTGCCATTTCCGACCAAAAAACCGCTACTAATCTGCGTTGATTCAATTACTTGCAGAATGAAGTTAACTAAGCCACTGTAGTCACGTAAACTCCCGTTGTGTCGGAATCCTTTTCTACTGAGCGTACATACAGCGGAGCTGTTAACAAGTATTTTAAGTTGCGGTACATTCCGAGCCTGCATGGGGTGTCACAAAGCGCGAAGACTGACTGAGCGATCAAGAGTTTAGACCAAAATTACTTCCTTAGCTCATTTGTGATTTTAATTAAAAGGAGATGTTTCCTGTAAGCTCGGCTTGAGTTTGATCAAAGTGAAAAATCGTTTGTTAAAGTGCGGGCTGTTATCGTGTGATCTAGTTTAAACATGAAAAATTAATATTGATCAATCTTAAGGAAATGAGCAGACCTTTGTCTGAGTCCATAATTAGGTTTTCTTAAGCTTTATTTTCTTTAAAACTAACAAAGGGAGTTGTTTATCTCGCTGAAGTTCGTGAAAGAATTACATATTTTTTTCGGTTTCTCTTTATGATGTATTTGTTACACGTTTCGTTAGATTTTTCCGAATCAAATAATACTGTTTATTAGCCGAACCGATAAAAGCTTCTTATGATCTAAAAGAAGATATTGGGTTTTCAGTTGGCGCCTCAGGAATGTCTTCAACGGCCTTTTTTTACGATTTAAAAGCTTGCGCCTTTTTTGTGTCGGAAGCGCCACTTTTATACAAATGTGATATTTGTTCCGGAAAAGCAGATATAGTGAAAGATGAAACTAACAAATCCGGTATAATAGAATATAACCCGGCAGGTAACATGCTTTCAAATGGGTTCGTTTCCAAGTATTTGAGGAGTGTCGTTGATATCGAATATACCATAGATTGCTTTGTATTGCATTAATCAGCGACATTCAAAACTAATTTATCTTTGAGAGACATGTGTTTAGACAATGATTAGTGTTCGCCAGCTATCAGCAAATGTTATTCTTTAGCATCGTTTCCTGGGAGTTAAAAATGAAAGAGAAGCTTCCGTTTTGGCGAGATCGCGTGTTTCTAAAAAAGCACGTCCGGCTTCACCGACTGTCGAGATGAAATTTGCTAATTTTTCGAAAAATAAATCCTTTGTTTTCTGAAGAAACCGGAAGGAAAACATCCTGTTAATTGCTAAGAAATAGTTTTCTTTTTTTTCTTTAGTAATGCGAATTGTTCTCTGGAATTTTTCGTCTCAGCTTCATCACGCGAGCGAAAAAGAAAAGACAAGCTTACTTCTTACATTATCTGGGACAATCTAAAGAAAAAAATATGCATTTTTTTTAAATATAAGTTTGTTTCATTTCTTGAGCTATCTTCAACATCAGTTAATCTTCTTGATTGCATTTCCCACATTTTTCAATTTGTGAAATGGTGCTTATGTCCAAATGAATTTCTTCAGCCGTGCTTCCTTTTCCTAGTTACAGAGAATTTCAGGTATTTTTCAATCTACATTTTCAAAAATTCGTACGTGCCGCAGTTCTTTTGATTCTACAGCTAACGATCAATTCAATCAATTTTTTTTTAACGTAACTCGGCAATTATTATAAGGTGACTTTCGAACACTTGGTCCTTAAAACTTACCGCGCGTTTTACATGATCCCATATCAAACCTCAAATGCGTCATTAAGTTAATTTATGACCCATGATAACAATAAATGTATCATCATTTTCACGGTTAGTATAGTATGATATTGCTGAGTTCGACCGCAGGACATATTTGATGTATATATTCAATTATCAGTGATTGAAGACCACGAGGTCGGAGCGAATTCAATATGTGTAATAAAATTTAGCAAATACAAAATTCAAGTGTTTGAATTCGGGAAGAGAGTGGAATGAAGACTTTCCTTTGAAGCACGACAGAGATGCATTCATAAAATAAAATTGTAAAACGGCATTTTAGTATTATGCTTGTTTCCCTCTAAGTTTAGAAGCTTTGGAAGCGGTTGCTCGTGTCAATAAGTCTCGGAACCTAGTGGTAATGAATATTTTCTTTTTCAAGTCAGCCTTTTCCCTTGTGGCTGGCGTTTGTTACTAGTTCATTCGTGTCCATGATCGTAGCGACACGGCGCCCACATTCGTACTAGTTTCTCTTAGGACATTAAGTAGAAATGGAACTGTAGAAGCACACAGGTTTTTCCAGTGAATTGATCCAAATGCACCAAATTATAAATGAAAGGCATAGTCACACTGTAGGAGCTGAAACTGGTTAAACCAACTGAAAGCTGTGGAAACGGAAGTATATCCATTAATGAATCGAACCCTGAGACTAAGCAATTCAAGAGACGAGCCATACCATGTGAATGTAAAACATTTGAGTACAGAAATAAAACAACATTATTATATACCACTGATCATATTTTGATAAGCAGTGCTGCAATAAGGGCGTTGCTGAAAAAAGTGTTATCTTGCAGAACACTCTAGCAAGCTATCAGTAATAGGGGATTAAACTGTGCTTTAATTCGGTAAACAGGCTTCTTTGGCCTCAACCACTGAAGACTGAACAAAACGAACCAAATTTCGTGAACTTGGTCTCAACATCCGCACAGGTCTTTTCGGCAATGGTTTTTTTTTTAATGTGGTAGATCACAACTTACTTAAATTGCTAAATAAGGGAAACGATGTGCAATTTGACTAGCTAGTTAGCTTACGTAGACGGACTCAAAAATTAGGTTTGGATGAAACGACTTTAAGTTCGAGTCAGCGGGAAGTCGAATTAACCGAGTTCAATTCGAAATAGAGAGTTCAGCCTGTGTCGTTAATGAAACACGAGGTGGTAGTACCAACAAATTTGTTAAATGTTATGTACAGCTTTCTTCTTTGAAAGAGCCATTTTTAAATAACTAAGGGGACCAGATTTCTTGTTCCTTCAGCGTTAGGTCATAGATTAAGTTTCTCTTTAGAGACATTTCATGTTTTGGTAGCTGTATAGTAAGTGAATCATAACTGATGATGTATTGGTCCCCGTGAAAGTTTATTGGATTTTTCTAATACTCCCGTCATTGACAAATACTCACGTTTCTTCCAGTCCATTAAAGACTCATTTGCTACTTTACGATTATTGAGTTTACAATGCACCAAGCCAGTCAACGTACTTCAAAAGAGTTTCTTTTCCAAGCTACGTAGTCTCACTTTCAAAAAAATGTTTTTACGCATTTCAAAATGGTCATTAATGCGAAATCAAACGGTAAACATGTTTGTATGAATAGAAAATTCTTGCCTTTTCCGGCGTCCCTACGTCGTGCATTCAAGAGTTTAACGTACGCATGGAAACCTCTTAACTACTTCCTATGTCAAGATGCATTCCTAATGCCTTAACATTCTCAACACGTTTTACTACCTTCATAACCGTTAATTCAGTCCTCTTGAAGGAGGAAAAATTTAGCCTTATTCAAATGCAAGGTATTATGCCCAAGGCTTATACTCCCTTTCGAACGAGAACGATCAGAATGTTCCAATTTTTTTGTTTTCTGAGAGCATCGTCTAAAGGGAAACGTGAGTCTTTAACGGTTGCGTAGGCGTTCTCCGTCAGTAGCCTTGAAGTTCAAGGCCAATAGATTAGAATCACTATGGAAGGATCTGCCAAGTCACTCGTTATACTAGTTTGGTCGGCCAGTAAACGCGCTAGGTTTGAAAAGCTCTTTCAGTTCTGATGAGCCAAAAAAAGGATTTTACACTCAAGAAGGAAATTCGTAGAATGCTTTAGAATGCAGCTAAAGAAGAAAACGTTTGAGTTTGAAACGTGCCATGAAGTGGGTGTACAGCTCTGATAACTGAACGAACTTGTTGATTCCGTTATCACCGGAATATATGGGTCGTAAAAACTTCTGTCTTATATCAAATGTTTCACAGCGTAAACTGCAGTTTTTTAAAACATGACAGCGCAACTTTCCGGCGCCTCCATAACTGTATTGGCATACGAATTGCTTCCTAACTGAGTTCACGGTATGTGAGATGTAAACTTGTTCAGTGAAAGTATTTTGTATTAGCTTGAGGAGGATATTACTGATGTAATTTAGAAGCATCGCAGCCAAACTAAATGGTCAAGTCCAACCTAACGAAAAGTTTCGAGACTACTTGGCGTGTTTTGCGTCCTTGTTTGGCGCCATGTAAAGTTTCGCAATCTTGAGAAGAACAAGGTTGTACTTTTGTGTTGATATAACTGTCACATAAAAACTATAGAACATAAAACGTTTTTGGGCCGTAAACTTTTTTTGTTGTCTTAAGATGAAGTAGCGCAAGTTTTTTCTCCGAGAAGAAAGAACATGGAACGTTTTTGACCGTCAACTTTGATTCAGTTGTCGTTTTGAGATGAATTAAGAGGCATAAGATTTCCTCACAAATTAAGTCATACAACGTTTTTTGGTTGTATCCTTTTATTGTCGTTTTAAAATGAAGTAGCGTAAGCTTTTCTCCGAATTTAAAGAATCAGGCCTTGCGAACTTACGTTTGAACACGTCAGTTCGTTTTCCAGAATCGAATGAGACGTGACTGGCTCCATCCTCCTTCGGCAACTTTTAGCGCAATATAGTAAGACCTAAGTAGTTCTAATTATTTAAGCCTTTATATGAATCTTTGAGTTGATGGATACGGTGCGACACTTTTGACATAATCAAATACTGACATAAAGTGCGCTTAATGATTTTATGTGCAAACAATTTTTCATTGAAGAGGCGTTTGACACGTTCACGTCGAAACCGCACCTAACAAACATGGCGGAACACGTATTGTGTTTGCTTTGTGTCGCACGGGGGATAATGCGTTTTGTTTAGGTTTGTGGAGGTGTTTTATTTATATAAACCACACACAGGCAGTTTAGGAATATTTTAATTTGAACGTTACCCGTCATTAGCACCAATTTGCTCTTTATTTTCTTCTTAGACGCTATCCTGGAAGGAAGGAATTCATTTTTACAGTGATCGTTGAAAGGTTTAGTTGACCATGGATGCACAACTGTGAGAGATTGCCAAAAATACCATTGTGTTTTGTTAGTCTATAAACTTGGAATGCTACACTTGTTTTTTTTCTTAAAGTATTGTTGTTTATGTGTCGTGAGACAAGAAAAATCAACTTAGTAATATATTTTCTTGATCATCTGCGACTTTTTCTCTCTCGGCCAGATTCGAACTTTTGCACAGTGAAAGAAGGAAAGGAGAACAACATAACAAAGTTCCATTAAAACTCGACAAGTTGCAATTTTTTTGTCTACGGTTATCAAATGAATAGCCTACAGTACAACGCCACATGGTTCAATGAAAAGGCTAAACTGATAATTGACGCGCGATGGTGGGTGCTACAGAGTAAACATTTTCCGCTTGTTTAATTGGCATCCTTCTGGCAAGTTCTCCAGCAAAAATAACATTTCATCAAAGTACGAAATCCTGTGTTTACTCATTTAGTTAATATGATTTTTCCGCTAAGAAAACAACTGTTGGTGCCGGGATCTGAGAGGTTCGATCTTAAATATGAAATGTGACTCGAGGACCATCATCAGCTCATTGAGTATTTGGCATATTTTCTTATCCATTACAGTTGTCGAGCTTCGTTCACTGATGACTGCTACTTAAAGAACTCTAACAAATCCTCCATTTTCGTAATTGCATGCTGTTAAAGATCTGTTTCATTCACTGATTTCGTGTGACATTTGTTGACCTTTTAAATACAGTTCGTGCCTGTATGCTCACGTGAATTAAAAAAAAAATGTTATAGCGTTGTTTTTGAAACATGCTAATTGTATATCTGTAGGCCAAATTCACGACAGTATTTCAAAGTAAGATCAACATACTAAATTGGGAATGAAGTTGTTATCACTGAGAAACTCAAAACTCAGACAGACTGCAAGTATGCCTAAACTTTGAGCGTCATTTAAGATTCCTGCCGAAAAGATCTCTGATTTCACAACTTACAGCACACGTTTTTATGTTTTATTGCCAACGACAGATGGAAATTGTAACTTAGTCTCAGTGTTATCAGTGAAAGAGTCATCTTGTTTGGACCCCATAACCATCCTGGCGGGAGACTCCTTTCAACGTCAACGCACCTATTTTTTTTCCCTCTTGTCAATGTTTAAACTTCTGTCTAAAAATACTGACCACGTCAGCTAAAATTATCTCAGTCTGCTCGCTGCGAAACAGAACAGTAATGCTGCTATTTAAACGTTTAGTCTGCTGGATGGAAGATTAAAACCTTTGACAAATCAAAAGAGTTAAGTAAATAGATGACAATGTGTATAAATGCTTGATTTTATTGGAAAGGAAATCACTAGAACTCAAGAGCAAATTTAATTGTTCCATAGGTCTCTTGGCACTTTCGTCTGTCGTCAGAGCTGAAACGGAAAAAAGAAAACTTGACGAAACGTCCGCTTAACAAAATGGTGATCAATATTAATCGTAGGACGAACTCGGAGAATCAGTCCTGAAACCCCCTCCCAACGATCGGCTTATGGGCTCAATGAGGTCCTCTTTCTACTTAAAAACAAAAGAGTATATAATTTACGACAAAGTATTGACCACATTTGGCCCCTATTTTTGTAACCAGATACAAATAACGAGAATGTTTTTGTGTCTAAAATAACAACTCTTGATAAGTCGTCCAAGCACACCGACCCCCTTTTAGCAAAGAATGCGCGTTATTCGGTCGAGATGCGCCAGGAATCCTTCGTAGAGATATAAACATTTTAATTCGACGCCTTTCATTCTTAAAGATAGCGTAGGCGCTTAAAGATAATTGACATTTCTCAATAGGGTGAGGCGATTTTTTGTCAAGGCGGTCAGCGACACTTTGTCTATCGTGTCAATAGCGGGTTGTTTACGGACTTCATGGGCACGTACGCTGTTTCAACGCAAACACGATTCTCTTACAACACATTGTCATGGTGGGTGGAGAGGGTATCTTTAGTCAGAGTCGGTAAAAGCGAGCATAATGACTCCGTTTCCCTGTTGTTGTCCTTTGTCTTCCTTTAAGTATTATTTTTGTACCCGTCAGGACTTCCCGTGCACTTTTCTAGCGATATCGTTGTTATTTTTATTAAAGTGTGCATCTTTCTTCTTACGACAAAGACACCACTACCCCCTCCTCGCTATCCATAGGATTTAGTTGCCTATATCTTTTAATTGGCGGTTAGTTTTGTACTTAAAATCTCCCGCAAAAGCATAAGCCGCTTTGTATCCCTCTTTCAATCACTAGGTAATGCAATTTAGAAGCTTTGTAGTGAATTCAATCAGACACAGCGAAGTTCATCGATCGTTTTTAGAACATTTTGGTCCCGTGCTCAAAAGTTGCACGCGAAAGGACACGTAGCAGTCAAAGGGTCAGCAATGTTTTCATATCATGAACATCAACATTGAATAATCACAAAATTTGCCCGTGACTTGCCAACATTCAAGTCATTCCTTCCCGGAAAAAGTTTCTGTGGAGACAAAACAATTGTTAAAGGAAAAACCTAGAGGGATCCATTGAAGCGAGTGCGTCAAATAACAGCTATTACATAAGCACGTTAATTTAGATGCACAATCCTATTAATTCCTTGTTGAACACTTCCAAACATACCACACACTCTTGAAGGTTCATGAACTTATAAAACCCAAGTCACGTTTTCCTATCGCGATGAAAATCTGTTGTTATCATTACTCGTCAGGAATGAGAACAATGACAACTTCAAGACGATTGCATGTTAGTATTTAATAGCGCGATTTAATGCTACCAAAAGAAGGTCATGGCAATTGTGAATTTCACGTTTAATCTTCGTCGCAATTTTGCTACAGCAGTGGTGTTTGATGTTTCATAGCTCGCTTTCGGAGATTGTAGAAAACAATACTTCCGTGCTCCCGTAACGAACAATTTAGCATGGCCTGACGCCCAACTGAGAGACAATAATAATAGCCTTCTTTGTTAGTTTGGTGTTGCTGCAAGGACAGATTATAGATTTAACACCCTAGATCACGCACGGCTTAAACAAGCTCAAATCAGCTTATTCAACGAAGAAAGTCATAGAATTCTCATAGAATTAAAAGTAAACACTAAGTTATATAACTTTCCTTGTGTTGTGAAAGCGACATGGGCAACATTTAATGCCTCGATCACGAGGGACGATATTTCAGAAACGATGGGAAAGATAGAACCTTTAACCTGTTATCAAGTGGTGGTTTTGGTTTTTTAAATAATTGGGAATGTTTTGTTGGTTTTCTCAATCATTTAAGTCGATCATCAAATGTTCGTGACTTACAAGTTCCACGTGAATGATTTTATCGCGTGATCAGTAATTTCGAACGAAAACAACTTCCGTTTAAAGTTGAAATCAACAATATCACCGCGCTTTTACTTACTTAACCACTAAGGGTGTTTTTATTCAAGATTCTGTTTCTTTAAATGGTCTCGAACAGTTTTATTTAGTTCACTAAGATTATAGATAAGTGCTTATGCATGACTTTTACAACAACGATCACCGCTAATGTTATGGTTGTCATTCTTTAATCGCAAACTTAATGATGCGAAGTTATTGCGGTGTCTGCGGCCGCCTCGATTAATTGTTGTCACTATTATCAACACTACAATAAGAATCCTGCATCTTAACTGCAATTAATCTTTCTTTCACAAGAACAATAATTAATAAATACCACTAGCAATCGAACATACTTTTTAAAAAATTATTAGATACTACAGTTTGTTTTTATATTTCAGTACACGATGAAAAATTGGCGTCACCTCGCCTAATTTAATAATTTATTCGCGGTTTAAATACGAAATATAGGGACTTAAGTTATCAGTAGGTCTTTATTTTTTTAAATTTTTACTGTTTGTTTCATTATTGAGTTCGTTAACGGCCTAAATTTCAACGCAAATATGTAAACAGTAATATTGGGTGCGTTGCTTTGTCCGTTAATTGAAGTTGAATTTATGTAGTTTTCACGATTCTAGAACAAACGGCCAAGAAGCTGTCCAGTGGTACGAACAACAAACAGATCAATTTTGCCAAAAAAAATAAACGTTTAAGGACAAAAATAACACCAATTTACGGTCAAATGGAAATTGGTTGTACAGTTATACGAAATTCACATATAATAGATGTCATAATAATGTTAATAATGATGATGATAAAACAATAATACTACTAATAACAATGAGGTACAGCATCAGTAGCTTCTAACAATTTAATCATCAATTCACGCGCAGCATGTGAATAATTCTTGAAATCTTATTTCATTTCAAACATATTATTTCCGAAGGGTTTCAAATAATACTTGTGTATAAATATCAATACTATATTCTTTAGCTCTCTTTCCATATTATGGTACTCTTCCTCGCTTAGTTAATTATATTTTAATTTCATTATGGATTATGCCTCAAATGTTTTCACATATTCACCGGAGGCAAGTGAGAAATAAATAAATCGGAAGAAAACGAAACAAATTTGCGAATATTAAAATCCGCACCCTAATTTTTAAGGACAAGAGTGCGTTGTCAATTTTGTCACGGATGCTTTCTACGATCTGAATTTGTGGGCCTATCAAACTCCGTGTTATATTTTCATTAAACTTTTAAGAGCGATTGGAGTCTAAATGCAATGACTTGCAAGTTAAAAAAAAAAACATGGCTAATTCGGTCCAAAATGTGTCAAGTTCAACGGCTTATGATATCGAAATCTATGTTTTAAAACAAAGGGGTTCTCGACCTAAAAATCTGCCTTAAAATTTGTAGATTTCCGCACATCTTGGCGTATGTTAAGTTAAATTTAAATACCAGTGGATGGTTTCCATTGTCTAGAATTTTCCTACAAACTCCTATTCGCTAATAAGGTCTCCACACTCCCTTTGGCGTTGTGGTACCGTTCCGTTCGTGAAGGACCGTGTCCGCGTGTGAAACCTCGAGTCCTGTGTGGTGATTTACAACGTGATTTGACATATTATCAATAGGCTCCTGCTTCAACGAGATCATTCCGTGCCCGTCGCTTCTGGGCAGACCGTTAAAGCTACCCACGCTGTTCAAATCCACGTTTCCAAGAGGTAGCGGTATCCTCTGTGTAACAGCGGGGCTTCCTACCCCCATGCTTTGTCCCACAAGGGGCATCACACCAGGTCTCGACAGGGGGAATGTCACCCCCGCAGTGGTGTTCGCCTGCGTGATAGCTCCCACTGATGTAGTTTGAGTTATTGGCATGTTTACCTTAGTCATTGCTGTTTGTTGCATGAATGGTTGTGGACGAAAGGTGTATCCATTGTTCACCATGCCATTAGGCAAACTATTGTTGTTCAACATAGAGTTGTTAACAACTGAATTCGTTCCGGGAGACGTGTTCAGCTGCTGGCATTGTGAAGAGAACATGCTGTGAGCAGGATCCATGGGCGGTGCCGGGCACACTTGATTCATGCCTCCGCCGATACCGTCTGATACTGTTGTCAGAGTCGTGTTCGTTGTAGCTTGCGGCGATGAGCGAAATGGAAACTGCGCTATGCCCTGAAATCTTGGTTCGGAGTAATGAGGAAGCATGGGTACATTACCACTCGAATTCTGCAAGTTCACTTGAGGTCTAGGCGCTGAGAGTGGGTTTAATGCCGTTAAGTTTACTTGAGCATCTGGTGGAGCGTGAGGCGGCAAATTCGGGCCTAAAAATCCCGGAAAGCCAGCGTGGAAACCCCACGTGGACGGTGAACGGATTTGATTGCTATCTGTAAATAAAAGAAACAAAACATATTGCACTTGTTTTGAATAGC